ATTCTTTCTTCTACTTACTCAAATCTGCTGTCAAAACTGTCTAGAGAATTTTTCATTTTGGTTATTGTACTTTTCAACTCCAGGACTTTCTTTTTTTTTTTTTCTTTTTCTTTCTTTTTTTTTGACTTTTTTCTCATAATATTCTTATTTTGTTCATTTTTCCTTGTTTCTTTTAGTTTTTGTTTACAGTTTTCTTTGGTTTCTTGAGAATACTATGATAATTTATTTAAAATAAGTTCAATGCTTCTTATTCCTCAGGGACAGTTTTTGACAATTGTTTTGTTTTATTTCCTATTTTGTGTATGCTTTGTTATTGCTATTGCTTTTGTTGAAAATTACACATCCAAAAGTTATAATATGTTGTGGTAGAGTGCTTGCCCAGCATTCACCAGGCCCAAATTCATCCTCAGCAACACAAACACATATGACCCCAAGAGAGCAAATATTTTATTTTATTCCTCCTGGAAATGAGAATTCCTCTTTCTCCCAGAGTTTGCTCTTCTTAATTTTTGGCCTATATTTAGTCAGTGTTTTGACAAAGATTTCCTTGAATTGCCAGGAGCTTTAAAATGAAACAAAAATCCTTCCATTTCTTGTGTGGTTGCTCTGTTGAGAAACTCTTCTCTTTTTTTGGTATAGGGTTTGAACTCCCATGTACTCAACCACTGAGCCACATCCTTGGCACTATTTTGTATTTTATTTAGAGACAGGGTCTCATTGAGTTGCTACGCACCTTGCCATTGCTGAAGCTGGCTTTGAACTCACAATCCTCCTGCCTCAGCCTCCCAAGCCACTGGGATTACAGGCATGCACCACTGTGCCCTGTTGAGACACTTTTTAGCACTTATCCAGGTTGTCTACAATTCTGCCTCCGCCTTTACTCCCTGCTTTCACTGAGCCTGTAGATCAGTGGTGAAAGCTAGGATCTTCAGTCTTTTCTGAACATGCGTCCCACACTGGGCATGCACTCTGTTTTCTAAATTGTTCAGATACATGAATGCTTTTGAAAGCCCTAATTTCTCAAAGAAATTCTTTCTCTCTCTCTGACTTTTCCTCTTGGACTTTATGACCTACATTGTATGTTCCGATTATAATCTTTTGCCAGGCAACTGTAGATTTTCCATTTGCCTCACAATGTTTTTAAACCCTTCTCATGGCTTTTCTACCCTGTGTGAATCCCAAGTTAGGCAAAGACAAGTGCCTTGTGACAGTCCTTCAGGAAGTCCCCAAATGGATTAGAACATACAACACAAGAATCTGCCAATAGGATCTGCTCTGCATTATCTGGAATTAAAGATGAGGGTCCATACTGGGAACGTGAGCTATAGTCTTCAAGATGACACCAAGTCAGGGAGAAAGTGGTCAAGGACAAGTAAAAATGCCACAAAGCTTGCTTACTGTTTTCAGGTTGCCTTTTTCTTGATTAGTGCTCACTTTATTGCTATAGACCTTTGACTATTTTCTAGAATTATGACAAAGTTGGTTCTCACAGTTTCAGTGGTGGGAGGAGGGATTATTTTTGTCTATTTTTATGTTTCTGCAAAGAGTTTTGGGCTATCTGCTCTGCCATTTTGCTGATGTCTGCAGGTCCTTTAAATTGTGTTCCTTACGGCCTCCATAATTGGCACAATCATAAAAATTCAATTAGATCATTTACTTGCCAAAATCATTAAAGCAGAAAGCATAAATGAACATTTTGTTATAATATACAACTTATTAGTATTGAGGGGGAAAATCCCTCCTCTAGTTCGTCCACAAATCCTGTCAATGTTACCTGTCACCTCTCTCTGGCTGCTTATCTCCTATACTCTTGGGCAGGGAGACAGTATGAACAGAGGCTCTGAAGTCCAACCAATCTAGTTTTGAACTTGTCCCCATCAAATCAGTAGCTTTGTGGGCAAAGCCAAAATCATTTAGCCTTTGTGAGCCTCTGTTTACTTATTGGTAAAGAAGAATGTGAATCCCCACCTCATGGAGTGAGATTCTACTAAGAAATGTGTGTACATAGTAAGGGCTCAACAAGTGTCATTTTTTATTATTCCGGGGGAGGAGGTCAATTTAGGGAGAGGGAGGAGGGGACCGCTTGGATCATGTTTGGGGAACGGAAAGTGGTTGGGTCGGGTGGAAGACAGTGTCCAGAAAGAGAATCCGGCCTGTTTTGCCCATGCCAATGGACAGCCAGCAAAGGTTCTTGAACTGAAGTATAATGAGATCAGACTGTCCTCTAAGAAGCCAATTCTGAAGGCGAAGCTTCTGGCAAGAGAAGTGGGGGCAAATGAACTATAAAAAAAAAATATTAAGGGCTGAGGATGAAGCTCAGTGGTAGAGCAGTTGCCTAGGATGTGTGAGGCTCTGGGTTTGCCTCCTACTTCCTTCACAGCAAGAAACAAAGAAGAGAGGGGGGAAAATTAATCTTCAGTTAGAAATTATGTTCTGGAATTCAGAAGAAAAATGAGGGCAGGAAATTTGAATTAAGAGTGCCTGACTTTAAATGACATCTACAGGCTAATGACTCCCCAATTTATATCTTTAATCAGGAGCTCTCATTGCCAGAATGTTGAGAAGGCAGCTCAGTCCCTGTGTGTCCATGGTTTCCAAACTGGACCCCTAACACTCACCTCCGAAACTCCTGGGTGCTTCCCTGTCTTGTTCATGCCAGCTGCACTCATTCAGTTACCCAGGCCAAAAACCTCGAAGTCATTGTTCACTTCCCCTTCCCTCACACTCCCCATCAAGTGCGTCAGTCCATCCGGTCAGCTCTATCCCAAGGCGTGTCCACAATCCAGCCCTCTTGCCCCTTTTTACCTCCCTCCTCCACCTTTTTGTTCAGCTGCCATCATCTCCTGCATGGATTACTGCGCTCCTGTGACCCCACTTGTCCCCTTGCAGTCTCAGTACCAAAGCCAGGTGACACTGTTCATCCTGAGTCAGAGTATGACCTTTGCCTCTAAGAACATCCAGTGGCTCCCAGCTCACTCAGGGTAGAAGCCAAGAGCTTGCAATGGCTGCCAGACTCCTCATGGCCTTCCTGACCTGCTCTCTTCCACCACTGCTTACCCTGTGGCTCCAGCCACACCCACCTCCCCGATGACCCCTGGATACTCCTTGCAAACTTCTACCCAAGTGTTGGCAGTTGCCCCACATGGAAAGCTGTTTTCAACACTGTCTTCACTTTTCACCGTCTCAGGTTTGGGATCTTCTTCAAAAGTCACCTTCATGGGCGGGCCTTCTTTGGATATTCCCACCTAAAATCTCCATTCTTCTTTCTCATTCTCTCTTTCGTCTCTTCCCTCCTCCTTTATTTCTTTTCATAACTACCTGAAACCACATATATTTCACCTATTTACCTCATTATCCTTCTTTCGCACTTGGATGTGTGCTTCAGGGAGCAGGGGTTCTATTCTGTTCCACTCTCTTCTAGCGCCCAGTGCCTAGAACTCTGCCAGGCATATCATAAGGAGCAATGAAGATTAGTTAAGTAAATCAACCTGCATGAGGTCAAATGCTGGAATCTCAGGAGGTGAAGGAGAATGAAACAATGAAAGACAGAGCCAAGCAGACAGCAGGAGGTTGACAGGACTCGCTCTGAGGGGCAGAGTGTTAAGAGAAGTCATAGAAGGAATGGGCACTGGATGCAGACAGAGGCAGGTGACCCAGGAATTTCAAGAAGAGAATGGCCAGTGAACACCAAACTATTGAGCAGAAGTTATCTCGAGAGATAGATGAACTTATGGCTGAGAAAAGGACTTAGAAAATGAGTGCTTTCATACTCTCTCAGTGGGAAGGAAAATTGGACAGTGACCTTGGAGGTAAGCTTGGCAGTGTCTATTAAAATGTAATCCATACTGTAGAATCCAGCTGTTCCATTTCTAACTACTTCTTGTTTTAAAGGAAAATTGCACATAAAGAAGGAGGTATGCCCATGAATGTTTTCTGCAACATTCTTGGAGATAGTAAAAATTGGGAGGGAAAAAAAAAAACCAAAATTGGAATGGCTAAATAAATCGGAGCACATTCAGCATGTGAAGTACAATGTGGAAGTGAAAAATAATGCAAGACTATGTGTATTGACAGGGCTTGGTCCCCATGACATGGTGTTAAGGTCATAAAGCACGTTCCTGAATACCATGAATACCACCACCCCACTTCTATTGTTTTAGACCAAGAGGGGACTAGGGCAGAATTATGGATGATTAAAAAATTTTGTCCATTTCTATAATTTTTATTTTTTTTAATCACAAGTCTGCATTACTTTTATAGTCCAACAAAATTTTAGAGATTAAAAACAAATTTTCCCAACACGAGTACTTTTAAAAATTAAGAAAGGAGAATGGTCAGAGAAGAGGGAGGGAGAACTGGGTGGGCCATTGAATGTGGGTGGTTTCCTCTAGGGACATTCTGCAGAAGGTAAAGGAGTCAGTGGAGCTAAGGCAAAGACTCAGACCACAGGCGCAGATTGCTCCTCCTCCAGGAATGGAGGGGAAGGAGAGTTTTTAAATCCAGAGGAGCATTTTTATGGCTGAAGGAGATTTGAGGATTGTGTGGTATCAGCAGGTGGTTGATTGATAAAGTAAGCTCTGTATATCTATGCATGATAACTCATCTAATACTGGCTGCCAACAAGTCACCACAGGTGACAAGAGCCAGGGTGTTAATAGCAGCAAAGCAGGGTGCACATGCTCTCCCTTCCCATCTCCCGACCCCTCCACGCCACCACTTTAGGCCAAACACTAACATCACAGCAAGCAAATCTATTTGCAAGCCCTCCTCCGTAAAATCTGCATCTGAATTCTTGGTATTATTTTTAAAAACTCATAACCCTTTATCATTTCCTGAAGCCCTGCTGCTTTGGAAATATGCCCAATCTTTTCTGAACTTACCTTGCCTTAAACAATCTGAAAAGGTTTGTTCTTTCTTTATTATCCATGAGTTATAATAGCTCAGCAAAAATGTCTCCACTCTAGCCTCAATACTGATGTTTAACAATGAGTTTTAAGTAATTGTCCTGGCCAGGGTTACTCCCCGCCTGCTGTACTTAAATCTGCCAAATGACTCATTCAAAACAATTGGAAGGAATTGAAACTGACCCTTAAAATTAGAACCACAGTTATTTAGCGAAGCCACCTTAAGCGCCATTCTCTTATCCCTAGCTACACATTAGCTGCACTCATTAACGGCCTTTCGCATTGCATCTGTGTTGAGGAAAGAACCACACCTGTCTGTATGCCTGCCCTCCTGTTCGGCAGCATTTAAATCATCCACTGAGGGTGCAAGAGGATGGAGCTCTTCCTGAGTCCCTTCACTTTATCCAGATCCCTCTTGAAGAATGTGGTGCCACTTCAAAGAGGTGGGTGTTCTGCGGGTGGCCTTACAGCTTCTGGTTGATTTATGCTGGAGTTTAGCCACTGCCTTTGCACAGACTTTGCTTCAGGAAGTATGTTTATCTGACCTTTCTTTGAATAGACAACTACACAGCAGCTCAGGAAAAAAAAAAATGGGTCCTCCACATAGAGCGGTGGCATTTGGATGAGCTGCTGGAATTCTTGGGATTCTTCTTCTTTGATCCCTTAAGCCTGCCCTGGCCATGCAGCTAACTGGGTGCATCATATCCTGGACTGATGGGAAGGTGACAAGTGTCCTGAGGCTGAATATATGAGGTAGACCCTGCTGCAGTTATCACTCCAATACAAATCAGACTTAGGTCCCTTGATCCACAAGAACTAGTGGTGATGCCCAGCATCGTTCTGTTTGTTTACTCAGGGAGACTGTGTTAACACCAGGCACCTGGAGGAGGAGCAGGGAAGGATTGTGGTCAGTGAGGGAGACACGTGCTCTTAAAGACCATGAGAGCCTTTCCTGGCATCCCCCTGGAAGGCAGGTGAGAGGAGATGCTCTCCTAAGAGGGTTCTTCCTAAGGAGCTTCATTTGCTCACAGATAAGGTGGACCTGCATTAATCAGCACCACCCTCCAACTCATACGGTGGGTTAACTGGTGAATCAAATCCTGTTTCTTTCCAGGTCTACACTATGTCATGTAAGAGTGACACTGTCTCCATAAAACAAACTCCAAACCCAGGTGCAAAGTGAGGCTGTGTCAGCTAGGCCCTTCAGGGAGGGGAATATGGGCAGGTTGCAGGGTGCTCATGCCCCCTAGACTCCTCCTCCAAGTTCCTTGGCCAACATTTTCTCCAGAATCCCTCAAACCTTGGAGAGTTGGCCTTGGGTGTGACTAGGAGAGTAGCGGCACCTTGCTCCCCAAAGAGGGAGCTGTTTCCTGATGCCTTCCGGTCAGATTGAAGTCCATTCCTCCGCAGTACAGTGCGAAGCCAACAAACATGGAGCCCTCACTGTACCTTTCCACTGATGCTCCCTCCTCAGGGGGTGCTGCTTGAGGAACTCTAAGCCCCAAAAACCCTGTGCTTTGTACTGCCTGCATGTCTCCCTAGATAATCAAAGGTAGATAATCAACTACCATTCCACCCCAGCGGGACTGCTTCATTTAAACAAGTCATTGGTCCAAGCTGAGTGCCTTCTTCAAAGATGTTTAAGAACAAGACACTTAAACAGGATACAATAACATAAATATGCCAAAGAAAATGACATGGCATTCTGCAGAGAGAGGCATTAGCTGACGCAGGTCAATTAGGGTTGCCATCAGGGGCCCAAGCAGTGTTATCTTGTTAATAGAGATTCTCACTGAGTCTTTCTGAAGTTTTTTTCCACAAGTGAAATTAAAATCACACAATTAAAATGCTCACAGTTGGGGCTAGATGTTCTTGAACTGATTGAAAGATGAAGAAGTGGACACGCCAACATTTTGAAACAGCAATTGTCTCTGTAATTAAATGCAATTAACTGACATAAATGTCTGCTTTTCTCCTCTGAAGACTGATTGAAATGCTAAGATTTTTTTAAAAAAATATGTCCCCAATCTGATTTCTCTTTCCATCGAAGCTCACCACAGAGAGATAACCATGGGTATTTTTCTTCTTTCTTGAATATGTACTTTAATTGATATTGGGCATGTATTTTTAATATGGAATTATACATATTTATTGCCTGATTTTTGTTTATATCACAAGTATTATTCTTGCTATTTTAAAAAGTTCACAAAGAATGAATGGAAAAAGAAAATGTGGTATATATACACAATGGAGTTTTACTCAGCTGTAAGAAAAATGAAATTATGGCATTTGTTGGAAAATGAATGGAACTTAGAAGGTTGAGGGCTGTATGTTTTCTTTCATATGCAAAAGCTAGAGAGGAAAACGGAAAACAGGTTGGGATGGATCTCCTAAAAATCAAAGAGAGGTCAATAGAGGAAAGGGACCAAGAGGTGAGAGGTAGGGAGGAAGGGGGGAAATGCTGGGAAGTGATAGTAGCCAAATCATATTGTTGTATTGTGTGCATGTGCAAATATACAACAACAAACACATCCTATCATTATGCACAACTATAGTGCACCAATAAAAAAGGTGGGGAAAAAAGTTCACAAACATCTAAATAAAATCTCAGCATATGAACATATCACCGTTTACCCAACCATTCTCTTTTTCATGGAATTTTGCCATTATAGTAATATGGAAAGAAAGAACATCTTGTTGCCAAAATCTCCCTGTTTTTCTAGTTTTTTCCTTTATAGGAAAAAGGAAAGGATTTATTTTAAGCACAATTTCCTAGGCCAAAGACTAGAATTATTTCTCAAAGCTTTTGATTTGTACTGTTAATTTCCATCCGAATAGTTTACCAATTATATTTCTTCAGTAAGAAAAGAAGCTGCCTAATCCTAAATCCCCTTTGACACTGAGCATCATCTCTATGAGATTAAACCTGTGGAAAGGTCAGTAACCCTTTCCTAGAGAAAGGCTACTGCCCAGCAGATCCTCTGGGTCTGGAGTCATTTGTAACCAAGATCTGAGTTTTTCATGTCTAGCTGTGCTTCCCAGTCAGGGTGAGTACACATTAGGTCAGTCCATGTATGTGCCCACCATCTGGTTAACTCACAGCCATGAGCGGGCCAACAAACTGTTGTCATCCATGAGGACAACTACATATTCGGTAAGTCTGGAGTCTTTCCCCATGTCCCCATCTCACTCTGTTTTCCAGCTGTGTTGACCAAAGATGGACATGATGTCTTCCTAGAGAAGATAGAAGACTGGAATGTGGTAGAACTCATGGTGAATGAAGAAATCGTCTTCCATTGCAACATTAAGGACTTGGAGTTTGGTAAGCTTCTTTCTGAGTTTTTAATGCAAACTAAGAGCCCTGCAACCTGTAGCACATGAAGGAGAGCATTCCAATCATACACAGTAAAATGCTTGTGACTGAGCTTGTTTCCAGAACACTGAAAACAGAAAAGAAAAAAAAAATGAACTTAAGCCCTGAGCTTTCAAATATATGATGGAATTTAAAGATAATAGCTTTTTCTGCTCTTTAATAAGGTGTGCTTTATTATCATTTGCTTTTAAAGTAATATCTGTTCCATTTGTTTGTTCTATCTACACTCGCTAAGACAATTAAAGTCCATATGCTTGTAGTATATGGCATTATCAGCAACCTTCTAGGGAGTTCTTTGCCCTGGAGGGCTTCTGGCTTGGAAGACTGGCACTATGCATGCATCCCTGTGCTCAGAAGCAAGAGTTTTTACAATCCACTAACTCTGTTAAAGCCTAGTTAACATTTTAAATGCCTGTGGCCTTTGAAAATGCACTCCTGGTGGAAGCCCTAGTTGTATTTAATATAATATCAAACTGAGTGTAAAGGTGGCCAAAAGAAAATGATTTCTCTCTCCCAAGGAGGTGATGGTAAGCTAGACCCACTGTGTGAAGAGGCCAGAATAGCCGTGCTAAATGCCGACTGATCCCTTCGTGGAACAGACAATGTCAGCTGCCTCTGGCCATTCTGGGATGCCAGTAAAGTGGCCTTCCGGAACATGGACGTCGGGCTCTACCAATCAGAACAAGGCGACGCTGGCCTCCGGTTTCCTGTATGGCAGCACAAGGGCCACAAAAATAATAAAACCACATCATTTGCAGCATCTCTCAATCTTGACCCATAGGAATAGCCCTCCAATATCAGGTACATACTGAGCTGAAGGAAATAATAAAATGCAATCTAATAACAAAGCACCATGCCTTACTAATAACGCATCATTGCCAGAAGCACTTGAGTTTCCATTCTATAGTAAGTGAAGAGCTAGGAACAGATAAAATTAAAGGGAGGGAAAAGGTTGGGGTTGGGGGTAGGGGCAGGAATTTAGGCCTTTGGAAGTCTGAACCAAAAGTCAATGTCAGTACAGTATTTGGAAACCTGGTTATTTCTATAGATTAATTTCCTGTTCCCACTGGAATAAATATTTTAAATTGCTAATATAAAATTAACTGAAATAAATGTTCAATTATCCTCCTTTAAAATAAGAAAAGCATCTGCCTTCTCTTATATTAGCCAGTCCAACAGGATGCTCTGAACAGGGCAGGAAGAGTCCTGAGCAGAAGCAGGAAGTAGCAGCCCATTCCTTTGGAGGGGAACACAGCACTGTATAAAGAGGATTGTAGCTATGGTCAGGATAAAAATAAGTCATGTCAAAATGATATTCTTTTTTGCTACCAGGTTCTATATACAGACTGCAGGATAAATTCTTAGTTATAGAGTAAGGAAGAGGGGAGAAATGTAGACACCAATCTAATGACATTAAAGGTGAAGTCCTGGTAAGAAGGCCTCAGACATGCAGATTACCCCACTGAAGACTGGGTCCTGTGTTGAAGGAGCAGGACTTTCAAGGCCTGTAGGGAACCCACATACCTGGGGAGCAAGCCTTCTCATGAACTTGGGCAGCCTCAAACCCTCCCACACCCCAGACTCCAAAGGCCAACAGACACTCCATGAAACCCCTTGTACAGTTTTTTTTTTTCCTCACATGTGATGAAATAGAAGATATATTTAAAACTCCAGGTCAAACATCACTTACCAGAGCTGACTCAGATTACCAATCACTTAGAACCCTTTGAACATATTTAATCATTGCCTTAGTAAGAAACAGGCTCAAAAAAATTCTTTCTCTCAGTGTTTGTATTGATTTTCATGCCTTTAGTGACCCTTGATTCAGTCTCATATTTTTCCAAAGACCAATTTCAGTTTCTATAGATTCTATGGGATTCTATCTTTGTTTCAATATAAATATTTTAGTACAAGAAAAATGCATTTTCATTAAAGAAAAGGTATGATAAGGATGAAAAGTTTAATAACACTTTAATATATTTTACTTTGGGTTTCTTCTATTTATGGTCTGAATGTCCATAAAGAGATAAGCAGGTACAGAAACTGATTTTTACCCATTTGGGATCACATTATCTGTACACAATTTTGTACTTGTTTTTTAACTTAACATTTTATGTTGAGTTTCTTCCTGTGTGACGGAGCCTTTCCTGAGTACAGGCATTGGATCAGGAAAATTCTTCCTCCTGTGCAATGATTCCCATTTTCACTGCCAAAACTACTTCTGCTGAATTCTAAAATTACAAGTGTTCCCCCATTTGCACTGGGAATGGCAATGTCAGCTCCAAGCACTGTGGAATCCCATGTCCTCTCTGGGGGCTCTGTAACCCTAATGTTGAACTGGTACCAGATGCTCCATGCAGCCTCCTTGTTCTGTCCCTCCATGACCATAACTGAAGGGCAGGTAAGGAAAAATTGCATGCAAATTATAAGAAAATCCAGAGTACAAAAAGCTTCTGGAAGATGCTTGTGCCCAGGGCTCTGCACTCCAGTTGAGATCAGAGGCAAATGATGTTTGATCCAACATTACTTGGAAAAGTCACAGCGGTGAAGAAATGGGTGGGATGGGGAAGAGAGAGTAAGCCTATCATTCCTTCCACATCATAAATGTTTTCAGTGCCTTGATTTTTCCTTGTTCATAAGTGTGTGTAAGTGGGGGTTGTCTTCATCTACTTTGGTTTGCTATAACAAAATACCTGACACTGGATAATATAAAGTAAAGAGGTTTGTTTACCTCTTTTCTGTGACTGGAAAATTCAAACAGCATGACATCAGAGTCAGGTGATGGCTGCTGGATATATCACAACATGGCAAGTGGCATCACATGTGAGAGAGAAGCAAGAAACAAGGATCACTCTTTATAACAACCCACCTTGAAGAAACCAGTCCACTCTTGAGAGACTCAACAAACTCAGGGAGGGGAGGGCATGAGAGCGGTCATGACTCTGTCACCTCCCAGTCGGCTCTTCTTAAATGTCCACCACCTTTCCACACTATTTTGTTGGAGATCAAGCTCCTAGCACATGATCCTTAGGTGGAGAAACCATATCCAAACCTTGGAAGGAGTACTTTCCAAGTAAACATTGAAAATAGAATTAAGACTTTGATGTAGAAGCCATCTATCTTCTAGTGACTTTTACCTCCAGCTAGCAGTAATCTAACCCTCCTCTGCCATTAGGAAGAACTTTTCTTTGGAAACATCTGAAGAACCTTCGTCTGTCTTCTGCCTCCTTGAACCTACCTCCCTCAGAGGGCCAGGAAACACAGCTTGCTCCCTATCAAGGGAAAAGTGATCTGTGCTTAACAACCTGGACACACAGATGCATTTAACACTTTTAAAACAATACTTAATTAGATCACATTTTAAGTTTTATAAAATGTCAAATCAATGCCACTATTAGTTGAACATATAAAGAAAGTGACGTTTTAGAATAAAATTAGAAATATCACTCTCAGTAGTTTTAAAAAGATATTTGGGATTTCTTTCTTCTGGTTTTTAACAGTTAAAAAGAATAATTTTTCAGGGGGTCTTCCAGGGCTGCTGCCTGGGGCCTCACTGGCTATACCTGCTCTCTTCCTTAGGTTTGGCCTTTAAAATCTTAAATAAATAAATAAATAGAATCTTAACCAATACCGTGAAAAAGCCATGTAGAAGAGAACTGTGTTCAAAATCAGTTCCCAGTGGAGCACAGCACTGCATGCCTATAATCTCAACTACTCAGGAGGCGGAGGTAGGAGGATCACAAATTCAAGGCCAGCCTGGGCAATTTTGTAAGACCCTGTTCCACAACAAAAAGGAAATAGGGCCAGGGATGTAGCTCAGTTGTAGAGCACCCTATGTTCAATTCTCAATACCAAAAAAATAAAAAAAGTTTGAGGGACTGGGGGTAGGGAGCAATAGGGAGATGGGGGAAGAACCCCAAAAGGATCCTTATTCCTTCAGTAGCAAAGGCTGCTCCATTTGATACATCTCCTGGACAAAGTAATAGCAAAATGTGGGGCTTAAATCCTCCTCCTTTAGATATTTATCTCTAGCTAGTGACATTTACCTCCAGTTAGCAGGCATTGCAGGGTTATAGGGAAGGAATATCCCAGATGACAATGTGTGTCCATCTTGTGGATGCCAAGTTTCCAGGAGAGACACATCACTTGGCCAAATCCAGGTGAAAGACAAGAAACTACCAGCCCAGGTGTCTGACATAAAGGGCGGAGAGAGATTCTTGCCAAACTGTGTGAACATTTAAAATGATCATGGAAAAGATCATATTAGACTGTGGTGTAATCAGGCACTCAGTGTAACCAGCTGTGAACCTCTGCTCTGGGGCCCTGTGCTCTAAGGCTTACAGAGTCCAGGCAGCAACAGGCTGAGTGCTAAGCTCGGATAAGAAAACAGGGGTAAAGCATGGGGAGGACCATGAATATCGCCTCATGCGGGGACTGTGAGGAGGAGGGGGAATGGTATGAACTAGTAGAACAGGTGCCTGGGCTTAGAGGGGGTGACCACCCCTCACCTCCAATACCACTGTTTTCTGTGCAGGAGAAAACTAGTCTGGTGGTATCAATCTTCTGGATTTTTCCAAAAAGGCTAGGAATCTGGATTTCTATTTCAAACTTCATTTTTTTGTGTCTGTACTGGGGATCCAACCCAGGACTACATGAAAGCTAGGCATCTATCACTGAGCTATACCCCCAGTCCCTCAAATTTTTGGCTCAATTTTTTTAAAAAAAAAAAACGTAATGCCAAGTGAAAAACAAAATCAAGCCCATTTGTGGTTCATTCACTCTAATATACTTCTTTGGTCTAGGCATCATTTTCTTTTTTCTTTTAATTTTTATTTGTTCTTTTTAGATACACATGTTGGTACAGTGCATCTTGACATATCATGCGTACATGGAGTAATATTTATTGTAATTAGGATCCCATTCCTGTGGGATTACATGATGTGGAGTTACACCAGTTGTGTATCCACATATGAACATAGAAAAGTTTTGTCCAGTTCATTCTGTTGTCTTTCCTACTCCCATCCCCCCTTCCTTCCCTTCATTCTCCACTGAACCTCTCTTCTCCCCCTTATTGTACGGGCATCATTTTCCACAAAAATTCCATGGTCCCTCTCCCCTGTCTACAGGTTTCTCTACCCTGGTAGCCTTCCTGTCTACAATGGTGATGTGTGTAGACACTTTTTTGTCCCAATGAAACCGCTTGACCCAACCATTTGGTTATGCAAATAAAAAGCAAAGAGGACAGATCTCTGAAATGACACCTGAGAAGCTGGGACTCTGGAAGCCTATGGTTCCTGCGATCCAGGCATTTCATTGGGGGAGGGCCTTTTAGGCAGAGCTGCTTCTCTTGGCTCACATTTTCTGATGGGGACTGCCTCTTAGTGAAGTGTTAGACTACGTCTGCATACACAGCCGCAGACCTCGGTGACAATGAGTGGTCCTTCAGAGGAGGTCAAGAACTGAGACCCAGAAGACCCAAGAAAAATGGTCATTCCCAGTCCCCTCTTCCCATGGGAGTGACAAGTTAGGAAGGGCTCGGTTCAAATCGTACGATCGATGCCCCCAATATGTAACACTGACGACCCAAACTTCTACCTCTAAGGAATGCACTGGCTTTACAGTCTCCTGCAGGCAGATTCTAAGTCCCATTCCTAGGTTCTGATTTAATAGATTTGGGATAAGATCCAGGAATCTGCCTTTGTAACACATGCTTTGGGTGATTCTGCTGCTCACAGTTCATCTGTGCTCTGATATAGTTGGCACTGGGATGTCAGGGCACGACCACATCCTACAAATAGAGATGGGCACTTGCCCCAAGGAAAATGGAGCTGCCCTCTATCAATCAGCC